CTCTTTCCTCTCATATGCAGACTCTGTTGGACAACGACGTTCGTCTAGACGTGTGTTGCGCAAGAGATACGCGAGTCAGTAGAGTGATGGATGGAGAGAGATCTGAAGTATCAGGAAAAGAAACAGTCTGAAAGTTCAATTTGTCGACAATAGTTCTAGGGTAGTCCCAAAACAATCCCAAGTCTTTGACATATTCGAGTATGAGACGAGCACCGACCGACCCAGCTCAAGCTGCAAAGGCAAGTACACACGCATATCATAGACCAAAGATATGAACACTAGACTTGCAAAGCGTAGCTGCTGGATGACCAAGAGTAAAGCATCTGCTGCATAACATGGTACTCACCGCGCATTATCCCCCATGGCAACATAGACCCATCTCCCAGACCACCGCCACCTAAATGTGTACCCATACAAGGTGGGTGAGGACTCGAAGACCCTGAACTGTTCGAGCAGCGGGTCTTCACAGAGAGTGTTCGGATCGTGACTTGGTTACTGGAAAAAGACGATTCTATTACACGTACACCTTGAGACAAACAGAATTGACAATAGATGAAGATTCTGGAGGGGCTGGCCAATTTACTACACAGAGTTCAAGATATGTGGTGTAGAGAGATGTGGGCTGTATTTGAAGCATTGGGTGTAGAGAACGTGGGGTGAGCGCAGTCGTCGACGTGAATCCGAATCGAGGCGCCAGTGCCAGCGGCGAATTCCCGGCAAAGCGGAGACACCCAGTCGATCGAGTGCGACCTCGGGCCAGGCCGGTATTGCCGAGGCTCGATTGTATTCGGACATAGCGCAGTCTCTCAGATCCCCCTGTGCCACTCTCCTCTCCTCGCCGCCGTCGTCTCCATTATGCTTCTTCCCTTATTGGTCCATCACATCGGCCCCTGGCCGACGACAAATGAGTCCATACCAGCGTTGTAGACGGCGCATAGACTTGGGTGAGTTTCGTGGCATCGGCATTTATGTATGCGGACGCCTCAATCAGCCATCTCCAGTGCACACAAGCTTTCTGCGTGCAATATTTCTTATGGCTGCGTGGTCCGCATTCTCGATTCTAAACACCCTGCATGCCCCATGTGGTTCACGCAGTATGGCTCGATCCCAACTCATCATTGTCGTAGATATGGGGCCGATATGATCTAATTGCTGTTCCAGGCAAATCACAGCATCCCTCCGCTCACGCGACGACGAAAATCTTGAGCACTTGAGTACTCAGGACTCTTGCAAGGACAGTCAGCTCACAGCTCTCGGGCCACCTGTGGAATTCCCCTCGACACGCTTGTACATACCCCACTGCTGTCATGCCTCGAAGCGCCATTGGGCAGATGCACACGACCATGACGAGCCTCATTTTGTGAAAATGGTGTGTTGCTGCCGTGCTGGGTTGTTCGCGGCAGGCTGCCGATATTATCTACCCATCGATATCCTCCACCAGACCTCGCTGCTGCTCCAGTCCCATAGCCTCGCGAGAAGCGTGACTATTGGCCAGTATTGCAGCTGCTGATAGATTATCAGCTTTCTGCCCCCCCCC